TCTGAGCCTGACTCAACAGCTACTACAGATTGGATCAGATACCATTGAAATGACTCTGTGCCGTTCTCAAATGGTATCGCAAGTATCAAGAATCTCGATATTAAAGAAAACCATCATTCCACCTAACTCGGTACAGCGATTTGAATGTCTCATATCCAAGTAACTCTCAGATTTCATTATAGAGCCACCTCTAAATTTAAGGGGGAAAAAAGAATTTTTAGAAATCCCAATTTTGAACAATATAATGACTTTTTCCCCAATTTGCCTTCCAGGGCCACTTGGTTCTGAATCCTTGATTGTCTTCCACCAAGTGCCAACTAAATACTAACCAACCTGTAGGTCCCGTGACCAAATCATGGAAACAAAGGTTTGAAAGTGTTTTTGAGTTCCCTGATGTATACTGAACAATTTTGACTTGGGCTGCCCCCTTGAAAATCCCGGGCATTTTGGGGAGGGGTCAACAAAGGTCAAACAGGGGTCAAACTTCAAATATGATGTAATTGTGTCGATATGCATATCAAATTACTCGTCCAGTCATAAGGAACCTAGAAATATATAGTTTGTTGTACTTCCCACCTTAAATGGGGGAGCTATGGCCAAAAACGTTGAAGGGTCAACTAACTTTTGGCAGTCGGTGAAATTCACAAACACAGTTAACATTGTCTGATTTTCATGATTTAAGTGTCTAATAATATGTTTTCTGACAAGACAAATTCAACCAAGGAACTTTTAAAAGTAAAAAGGGTTACCTTGACCTTGAAAATCGAAAATGGTTGCCAAAAGGGCTGCACGAAGAATTGTCTTGCTTAAGCAAAGTCATTGGAAACAGGATCCTTGGCCAATAACGCAGCATATTTCAGAATCCATTGTCCAGTAATGCTTTTCTAACCTTACTTTAGTGCACAGTTCATCATCCTACTCTGTGTCATGCCCATCAGATGCAGAGTCGGAATCACTGTCACAATCACTAGTATCTGAGTGAGTGAGTGACTACGGTTTTACGCCGCTTTTAGCAATATTCCACCAATATCACGGCGGGGGACACAAGGAATGGGCTTCACACATTATACCCAGGTCTTCGGCGTGACGAGCGAACCATTTAACCAACTAGGCTACCCGACCACCCCCACTAGTATCTGAATCTGTGTCCGATTCTACAGAGCAATTTGCTCTGGTGCCACTCAGGTGTTCAGGCAGTGCTGGCTGTGAATACCGTATTGGCAAACATTTGCCCTCTCTTAAGCTCCAACCATGCTGTAGAGGAGATGATGGGGCATCTGGGTTCATAAAGTTCAACATGATGAATGCCTGATAGTTGGCTCTGGTTACTTTCAGATTATGCGAATCTCTATCAGGAGGAATCCTGAGAGTTGATTTCCCCTTCATCCCCTCCCACCTTTTGGCCCTAGCTTCTGCGAGTGTCTTGCTTGTTCTATCCTTATATACATATTTGATCGTAAACTGCTCCATGTCTTTGTGAGTTTGTGGTGTCACTGGAACACGTTTCCCAAGTTCTCTCAGTAGCTCTTGTGCCTCTTCTGTTTTCATTGCGCTGGCAAAGACAAATGGTTTGCCATGGCCATAAAAACTAGAAATTGCATCTGCACCAGTGTAGACGTGAAATGGGATGATAACATTGCTGATCTTTCTTTTTAGTCCTGCAATTCCTTCAATTTGATGTGCCGAACACCAAAATAGTGTCTGCTTCAATATGCTGACATGCGAACTCCCCCATCTCCTCATCAGTGGACAAATCACTACAGCGTTCCCTTACGGAGTACATATATCTGGTCTCTGGATGTTGGAGTAACAAGGTTTTGAACTCAGTCTTCAGAAACTGCTGCAGGCGTATTTTGTTTACTGGGTTCTTGAACATGTTGTTAAAGTGCCTAGGAGATGGCAGTTCATCATTTCTCTTGATGAAAATGTTCCTGGTCCCACCAACAAAAGGCAATTCACCTGTTTGCCGTTCATGTTCACTGTCTTTGTTGCTGTAGAGTAGATCATATGGGTCACTGATAAATATTATCTGGGAAGCCTTAGGATGGCGTTGGACAACAAGGTTAAACATTTGGGCGGCATAATCTCCCCACGTATAAGAACTTTCATCTTGCATCTCCCTATCCTCAGCAGATGGGGTTGACAGCCTCCAAATGAATCCCATGTCTACTAGGGCAATGTATCTGTTTGGTAAGTCCAGTTGAAGAAAGTTGGACTTCTCAGTCAAATTTGATTTTTGCCCTTTCCGTATTGTTCAATATATATTGAAGATCGGGAGACACTCTTCTGTCATGCGGTACTCCATAATTTCAGATAGCACAAAACCATCATCTAAGTCCTGTGCCAAAGTGATGATCTCGGCCATGGCTTTGTTTTCAATTGCATCCGTTTTTGTTACGTTCTGTTTTGATGCGTCTATGGCAACTGGTGGTTTGCTGAAGCTGTGTCTGCTGTTTCTGTGAATGGTTGTATCAAACTGTTTGTCATCAGAGAACATTCGCTCTTTAAAGAATGATTGCACTAGAGTCTCACCATCCTCGTGTGCTGTGTCAACATCTTTGACAAGTGCATCTGATGCTACAATTCCTGACTGGAATGACCTCAAGATTGGCTTGGTAGGGTCGAACGGGTCACTATCAAATTCTGTGATGCAATTGTCTAAGTCTTGTACCCCGCGCTCATCCAGCAACAACCCTGTTGTGGAGTACTCCTTGTGACCTTCAGAAGATTCAGTGAGGTTTGCCAATGCATGTAGGGAACTTCTAACTCTATTCACAGAGTTGACGGTTCTTGTGTGAGTCAACAACATCTTCTCATTTTTTAAGATGCGCTTTCTGCTTTCATCTTCGAAGCATTGTTCATGGTCATTTCTATCCATCACAAACTCACAAAGACATGGAGCAGATTACTATCATACACACACACACACACACACACACACACACACACACATACATATATATTCCTCCTGATAGAGATTCGCATAATCTGAAAGTCACCAGAGCCAACTATCAGGCATTCATCATGTTGAACTTTATGAACCCAGATGCCCCATCATCTCCTCTACAGTATGGTTGGAGCTTAAGAGAGGGCAAATGTTTGCCAATTCGGTATTCACAGCCAGCACTGCCTGAACACCTGAGTGGCGCCAGAGCAAACTGCTCTGTAGAATCAGACACAGATTCAGATACTAGTGGGGGTGGTCGGGTAGCCTAGTTGGTTAAATGGTTCGCTCGTCACGCCGAAGACCCACGTTTGATTACTGACACGGGTATAATGTGTGAAGCCCATTCCTGGTGTCCCCCGCCGTGATATTGGTGGAATATTGCTAAAAGCAGCGTAAAACCGTAGTCCCTCACTCATTCAGATACTAGTAATTGTGACAGTGATTCCGACTCTGCATCTGATGGGTATGACACAGAGTCGGATGATGAACTGTGCACTAAAGTAAGGTTAGAAAAGGATTACTGGACAATGGATTCTGAAATATGCTGCATTATTGGCCAAGGATCCTGTTTCCAATGACTTTGCTTAAGCAAGACAATTCTTCGTGCAGCCCTTTTGGCAACCATTTTCGATTTTCAACGTCAAGGTAACCCTTTTTACTTTTAAAAGTTCCTTGGTTGAATTTGTCTTGTCAGAAAACATATTATTAGACACTAAAATCATGAAAATCAGACAATGTTAACTGTGTTTGTGAATTTCACCGACTGCCAAAAGTTAGTTGACCCTTCAACGTTTTTGGCCATAGCTCCCCCATTTAAGGTGGGAAGTACAACAAACTATATATTTCTAGGTTCCTTATGACTGGACGAGTAATTTGATTTACATATCGACACAATTACATCATATTTGAAGTTTGACCCCTGTTTGACCTTTGTTGACCCCTTAATTTTCAAGGGGGCAGCCCAAGTCAAAATTGTTCAGTATACATCAGGGAACTCAAAAACACTTTCAAACCTTTGTTTCCATGATTTGGTCATGGGACCTACAGGTTGGTCCTTGACTAAAGTCTGGAAAAGCTGAGAATGTGTGATCCATTGACAATCAATCTATGCAAATTTAAATCATGAAGGCCCCAACCATGTATGATGTATCAAGCATTTGCATCTTTTCTTTTCATCAAAAGATGTTTGATCCCCTATATATTAAAGATGCTACATAGATGTTTATATGCTAAGAGTTTTTAAAAATAGGATTATTGTATGTGTATATAACTACAGTAAACTATGGTTATAACAAACTCAAAGGGACCACTAATTTTAGTTCGTAATTATCGTAGGTTGTTGCATGCATTTTGACTGTTTTTTTATACAAATATACATGTATACTACAAATGGTGGGGACCAAAAAACAGTTTGTTATATCTGTCAGTTCATTATTAGTGTGTTCGTCATAAACGTAGTTTACCGTATTCAGAGCTACAGATCAGCATCAGCGTAAAATCCCCCCCCCCCCCCCCCCAACCCCTTTTTAATATTCAAAACCAAAATACTTTCAAATAACTTGCATACAGAAACGCATGCATTAAATGAAAAACTCAAATTATCAAAACAGCACACGTAAATACCCAATGAAGCTTTTCCAGCATGCGTACAAAGGAGCTAATTTCCGAAACACAATTATGAGCTAATTTACTTTTCCGGTCAAGCCTATTCATTTAGAACAGTTATATACATCTAAAACATTATTTCATTTTTTTAAAATGTCCACTAGTTTTGGGAAAACCCAATAGAGTGATGATTAAATCAGTGAAGAAATATTGGTTACCCAATGGCAAATGTAATAACCCAATTAAAATTGAAACCCTGGAATAAAAACCCAATGAAAAATGTAATAACCCAATTAAAATAGAAACCCTGGAATAAAAACCCAATGAAAAATGTAATAACCCAATTACAATAGAAATCCTGGAATAAAAACTCAATTGCTCAAAAAGTTATCTGGAGCTCTGCCGTATTCTTTACTTGCTTGATAAACAATTCTTAGAAGTCGACAGATGACAAAGTTGACACAATCTTTATAGCAACGTTTGGCATAAATCTTTACACTGTTGTCAAGCATGACTGCCCTGTTTCACAAAGGCACAGGGATCTATACTAAATCATCTCTATAACAGAATATGAAAGAAGTTGTTATCCATTAAGAAACGCGTCCACTTTGTATTCCTAGTTCATGAGTATGACGAGTCCAAATGTGTTTTGTACGAATAGGATCAAGTTTCCTATCAGTAAGGCAACAGCTTGGTTTACTTTTTAGTGTCCACTAAATAATAACTGGAAACCATTTTATTGCTGATTAAAAATGCAAGTCAATATGACATTCAATATTTTAATGATATTTAAAATACTTGGTACTAAAAATATCGCTAATTGTGGAATAAAATAGAAGTTTGGAGAATTTTAGCCTTAAACTAAAACCATGACTGAACCATGAATTAAATACAAACTAAACTGGTTCATATTTTCATCCAACTATACTCTTTGTCTTGATATGATGTATACAAACTCAACACTTTCCATGCCAGGAAACATCCCATCTTCATTAGGATGAATGGAAGTCCGGCCTGAGCATATTTAGTAGCTTTGAGTCTGTTAGGGGATATTGGCTCGAGATTAGACCTCTTGTATAAGGGCTGGTTAAAAAAGATTGATAATCGGGATCATTATTGATGGGAAATGATCATCCATAAGAAAATTGTGTCATTGATAATATGTTACATAAACTATTGTGATGAAATGAAGAGTTTAGATTGACCAAAACAGACTTGCTCTTGTCAGCATTAATTGCTGAAGATGGAAAGTAACTGTTTTTGTTTTTCTCAAATGTCCACAAAATAATCAATCTGCATAAAAATTGTTTGTTGCCTGATGCCACACAGCCATACTTCTGCCATACGCAGGGTCAACTCCTGTAAATCACATTTCATAAAATTTGTAGAGGTAGTGTAGTTTTGATAAAAGATGGTAAATACACTTGAATCACAGCACCCTGAATATTCTGATCATTATTTGTCAATCCTACACCACCATGCATAAAAAAAGACACAAGTGATATTGCCTGAGGTAGATCAGAGGGAACTTTTTATCCCTGCCTTAATACGTCCTTGGTTACAAAGGTTTACAGCCTGCGGTCCAAGATTAACTGGTACCAAGAACAGCCAGTGACTGGAGAACATAGTCAGGCTCTAGACCTGGGTTGTCCTCAATTGTCGCCAAGCTGGCTGCTCCAGACAAAACAAGAGCTGAGTCCACACCAATCTCCTTGGCAAACCCAATATCGGCCTTCACACTGTCGCCAACCATCAGGGTCCTGGATCTATCAATGTTAGGATACATGGCCTGTATGCACTGGTACATATGACGATCAGGTTTGCCAACAACTGTTGGCTCTCTCTTGGCAGCAACAGATACTGCTTGAACCATCGCTGCTGTGATTGGTTGTCTCCTGTTGGGGCCAATCATAACGCCACCTTCAAGCTTGTTAGTCGCAAGATAAAGACAGGATGCTTTTGTGAGGTAGCTTGCAGCCTTGTACATCTTGATATAGTCAAAGTACTCATCAAATCCAACCAGCACTGCATCAACATCATCGTGCAACTTCATGGCGAGAAGCTTATCATTGTCTCTTGTTGGTTCCTCGGTCTCTGGTCCAAAGCCGAAATACTTTAAACCTAATTCCTTCAACTCAAATTCCATGCCAGGTGTGCCAATAGCATAGATAGATCCCTGAATGTTTGCAACATTTTTCAAGTACACTGCTGCGGCATACGACACCGTGAAGATTTCTTCAAAAGAACCCTTGAAACCATATTGCTGAAATTTGTCAACAAGTGCATTTCTCCCAGGAATACTGTTGTTTGTGACGAACAGAATCTGCTTTCCTGCTGTTCGTAAGCCGCTCATTGCTTGTGGAATTCCTGGAATCTGGGTAACATGGTCAGTTTCCCACAAAACACCATCACAGTCGAGCATGATGGTGTCATACTTGAACAATATGTCGCGGGTGTCGTCTACTTTCACTTCTTGTATGTTCTTATTGTTGATGGTTAAAGTGGAAAATGCTCTTCCGTTTAAAACAACGGATCCTCCTAAACACTTTTCTTTGGTGCTTGACTGAGCTATAACTGGTATTCCACTTCTGTGCAATACGTTATACAGCGATCGACTTCGTACAAACCATCGTCTGCTAGCATAGCTGATAGTGTTAAAAGCCATTTCAACACCGGTATTATACTTCTATAGTTCAGATAACCTAGATAATCCAGTTCATCATCGCGTGTTCATCTTAATATGAGGTGTCAATTTCGAAGAGCATTAATCAGCGTCGAAAGGAGGAGTCTTATCCTTCGTTTTCTGTGAAAAATATTGTAAAGCCAGGTGCTTGTGAACTACGTACCGCGCAAAACAGCTTAAATACAACACATTTCAAAAACATACATTACATAGCTGAGAATGTTTCTAATCCATGTATAAACATCATGTGTATATGAATTTTTTGTAAAGTAATAAACATCTTATTTTTATTGATTGATACATATCAAACAAAACATCAATAATTGTGAAACTAATTACAAAAAAAAATCGAATTGTAAGTAGTCGTACGGAGATAGTACAATTAAGAAGCGTGCCTACCTCGTCATCAGTTACTGCGTTGGCCGCGAAACTCAAAGTTTTGAACACAAGAAATACTCAATTGATGATACAGAAAGGGATTACATGTATTATTGAACAAGATGTTCAGGTAAAGCAAGTATAAACTTTACCGTGCCTACAGCGACGTTTTTGAGTGCGATCAATAATGCAGAGAGCAGATCTCACGGTGTTTGCAGTATTGTCCGTTATACCACAGCAACTGGAGCGAAGGATGTTTACAAACGTTGTTTCACATAATCGCACAATGTAATGATCATATGTTGTCGCAGTATGACATTACAGACTGAAACAATCCACGGATACAATGTCACTGCCAGTGTAAACAATGTAAAGATATCTCATTCAAAACGGAAATTGGAATCACATGATCAATGATATCAATCCGCGTATTTATAGTATAAATGAGTTAACTCAACACACATGAACAAGTTGCAGAATGCGTTTGAAAAGTGTCACTTAGAATATACAAGACATTTAACTGAATGATGATATCACATATGATTACGTTATTTATGTAGTGTAATTAATATGCAAAAAAATGGACCATTGTCTCATTGGGTGCAGGCTAAAACGGCACCTCAGCAAAACGTCACCGATTTCTCTGGCGAAAACGGCACCGCATTTGGCGAAAACGGCTACTATGTGTCGGGCGAAAACGGAACCTCTATGTTTAATAACGATAACAACGATTTTTGTAGTAATATATAGGGTTTATTTACATGGTATTTGATGTATTGAGTACATCTGAAGCGGTAATGTGAATTTCCGATAGGTTTGGTACTCTCATTTCTTCAGCATCTTCTGACTGGCAACTGACATGAAAGTTACGGATCACCTCTTCAATGACGGGAGCTACGCATTTCACACAGCGGAAAGGGAAGTCAGTACGGCAAATTTCTCTATAACGGGCCATAGAAAGTCCGGTTCCACTGGTCACAGTTATCACATGATACAGCATGTTGATTTTTTTTCTGTCTTTCCTCTCGCATGCAACACATCGAAAGGCCATTGTGAATAATTGTGATCTGACAGCACCATGTTAGGCCTCTTAAATACAGTTTCAGCTTAAATTGAGTAAAGGTACTTAAAACTTCAAAGCGTATAGTGAATAAAAGTCGGTGAGTAAATTGGAGTAGGGGGCTAATTTCTTATTTGTTTTAATTCACAATTATTTGTGTTTGTAAGAGACGATGTGAGTTTAATTTCTATTATCTTTCGTCAAAGCATGTTATGTTTTCACCATAAGTTGAGTTGCGTATAAGCTAAGTTGGATTATAGTTGGAGAAGAGGCTAATTTCTAATGTAAACTTGTTTTAACATCTCACAATTATTGGCCTTTGCATGTTACAATGTAAGTTTAATATCATTCATTTGACCAACGTAAAAAAAAAAATAAGGTGCCGTTTTCGCTCGAGTCGAGGTGCCGTTTTCGCTTGAGTCGAGGTGCCGTTTTCACCAATCGGTGCCGTTTTCGCCCGGTGACGTTTTGCTGAGGTGCCGTTTTCGCTATAACCCGTCTCATTTTAGGCTTGGCACAGTCCCTTCGAACCATATTATTATTTCACCTTTAGCCCAGCCCTTTCTTTGATGCAAAAGCCCTAAATGAAGCAAGGCTATTCCCACCTCAAAAGGCTCCTTTTTAATTTGAATTGAGTTTTTTGTTTCTATCAAAAATATATATGTTAGTCTACATTCACCAGTACATCATGGCCATTAGACCAAGGTCTTCTGTTATATTGTCATAAAGATTTCCTTCTCATATGATATATTTATGAAACATTGCCTAGATTTTTGTATGTGATGCTGATAATTCATGCTGTTGCTATGTATTTTTACAATAAATCTTAACCCGCCTTTAGAATACAGTACCACAAATGTTTCAAACACATCTCAATACCCTGTGACATAATTTTTTTAATTGTGTTGCCAGATACAGTGGCAAAACAATGCCCTGTGACTGTCAGGGTTCATCGTGTGGGTATAAGCTCCTCTCAGTGATCTATCGATCATCTCTACATGCGACGTCACTGAATAAGACCAGCAATGTTGAGAGCTTTCATTATTGGTTCACTAAACATTTCCTGCAGCGGCACATTTTATAGCAGGCGCCAGTTTTTGAAAACATTTGTATTTTTAATATAATTTCTTTTCAGTGTCAACATAAATCATCTGGATGAATCGATTGTAAATAGAAACTAATATGTTGTTTTTTCTCCTCAGTAGTTTTCATTATTATGCACAGGAATGCTGTTTATTAGGCATTTATTTGTTGACGCTGCACACATCTAAACACCGCTGGTCCGAACACTATCTATCTACTGTGGAACTTCTTTGGAAATCTGGGGCGGTCGGGTAGCTTGGTGGTTAAAGCGTTTGCTCGTCACGCCAAAGACCTGGGTTCGATTCCCGACATGGGTACAATGTGTGAAGCCCTTTTCTGGTGTCGCCCGCCGTGATATTGCTGGAATATTGCTAAAAGCAGCGTAAAACCATACTCGCTCACTCACTCTTTGGAAATCTATCAATTAGAATTGTATTGACAAGGATGGTTGCAGGGCTTTACAAGCTTTCCATGCCAGGAGACATTCCATCATTATTAGAATGAACAGAAGTCCTGCCAAATTTAGTAGCTTTGAGTCTGTTAGGGAATATTGCCCTCTTGTACTACGGCTGGCCCAAAAAAATCAATAATCAGAATTATAGTCTGTGGGAAGAAAAATTAACGATTATCGATATGAAAATTGTGTCACCGATAATAACTTACATAAACTGTCAATAATGTCAATTGTTGAAGACGGAAAGCATCTGTTTTTGTTATATCTCAAATGTCCACAAAGTAATCCCTGCATAAATGTGCCACCACTTACCCAGTGGAGTGAAATATGTTGATTTCTTTTGGAATTATTTTTGTTTATTTGCTCAAAGTTATTTCTCCGATATTTATCGATAGCCAGCCCTATCTTGTACATATACAAGCAGAAAGTATTTTACAATTAATTTTATGCAATTAACATATCACCCTAATATGTGTATCTTCTTGTATCCATGCATCACTTCATGCTACATAATGTTACATTACTCGTGGAGATGCACTGAATGTTCAGTGAATCATTACATCCCAACTACTCACTAAGGTCCGGGTTAGTATTGATCTTCAGCATGTTCAGCAACCCAGGCTTGTCAGAAGAAGCGTCTTACGGGATCAGGCCCGCTAACTTGGTTGATGCATTTCATCGTATCCAAATTGAGTAGAATCTAAGATGGATGTTCATGGGGTCAATCACTGGATTGTCTGGTCCAGACTCGATTATTTACAGACCGCCGTCAAATAGCTGTAATATTGCTCTGAGTGTGGCGTTAAACAACAAACAAACACTAACTATGCTAAACTGAAACTAACCTTCACACAACATGGGTGAGTGAGTCAGTTGGATTTAACGCTGCTTCTAACAGTATTCCAGTTACATCACAGTGACTCAGCTTAATGTGGGAAGAAAACCCAAAGAGATGCAGGTCTGTCATTTACCAATTTGAAACCCACGAGCAAGTGTGTGATGCTGACAATTGGCGAACCAGGTTTTGAACCCATAATCACAGGGCCTGGCATGTCCGAGGGACGCAACTCGTCCCAACATTACCTGGAACCCATGAGGATTGAGTTTGCTGTATGTAGAGGATATTATATTCGTGTTCATGTCATACTATGTTAACGACACAAGTATCTAAATTCCAGTATTTCCTGATCGAGAGCCAACAAATAAAGGAATTTAGGCACGAGTGTTGTAAACATAGAAAGACTTGAACACGAATATAATGTTCTATTTTTTACCGAAGAAGATGTCTACATACAGAGACAAATTTTAGTGTTCATTTATAAGGACAGCAAGTCGCAGCAGCGGAACCACAATTTGTCGAATGACGTCAACAATCTTCAGCTATGACGTCGTTTCTAGTGTGACATCATTCCGACCTCATTTCACAATAAGGTTCGAATGACGTCAATAATGCCGTCCTGATGATAGAAACAATACACCATTTTCTCACGACATGATATGACCCTAGGGCACACTTGACTGTTATGAACCCTGATATGTTTGCCCTCGTAGGTAATAAATGTTTTATGTATGTGAATGTGAGTGTATGAGTTGACTGTTGCAGGTTCCTGCGTCGTGAAAACCTGGTGAAGCAGTCCCAGCAGAGTATCTCCTGCCCCGCTATCAACTCTCCACAGAAGGATGGGGCCACACCATCAGAGTCCAGCTCGGAGTCAGGTAGGAAGCGGTCCGTTAGCCTAGAGGTTAAAGCGTTCGCTCGTCACGCCAAAGAACCGGGTTCGATTCCCGATATGGGTACAATGTGTGAAGCCCATTTCTGGTGTCCCCCGCCGTGATATTGCTGGAATATTGCTAAAAGCGGCGTATAACCATACTCACTCACTCACTCACTCACTCGGAGTCAGGGATACTTCTCACTGTTAGAAAATTAAAGACTAATGAGTTTTTGCAATCCTATGACCTATAGCATGCATGGTAAAACCTTGTGTTTTCGCCATTCTGCTCTGTTTGAAGACAAAAATCCAGAAAAAAATCCAGTTATTTCTCAACCATTTCTGCTTTTTCTATCCTAATGGAAAAACATAAATTTCTTTGAAAGGCATTCAGAAGTGATACACGTAAGTAGGAGCTTTTGTAGATGTCAACTTTCACCTGACCATGCTGACGTTTCACGTGATCAAGGGGTAAGCATATACTCCAAAACGTTGTGTTCCTCATAATAAAGAGGGACGGTCGGGTAGCCTAGTGGTTAAAGCGGTCGGAAGACCCTTTCGATTCCCGACATGGGTACAACGTGTGAAGCCCATTTCTGGTGTCTCCCGTCATGATATTGCTGGAATATTGCTAAAAGCATGTCTCAAAGTTAAAATTTTTACCAAGTAGCCATAGGGCTACAAGTATTTTTTTCCAGGTAGCCAGAGGTAAAATTAAGAAGTCAAGTCAATAGTGTAGGTAGCCAAAAGCATTTGAAATGATCTTTTATCAAATAACTATTAGATGTACAAGTCATAGCACTAGTCTTGGAACTGTATATTAGTGGAAACTGTACTTGATTTTTATTACTTGTGACACGAACAATGGTGCAATTTATGTTACTAGATTATATAGGTATATGCTTGCTTATCCAATGAGCATTGTCAAATGAAATAAAATGCTCTTTACATTAATCATTAATCATCATGTTAATATTTATGTATTTCGATTCATTGTTAACTTGAGTAGGAATTATCTGCCAGTACAAGTAGTAGCAGACCATTTTAGTCACAACTTTGAGGCTTGAAAAGTGGCGTAAAACCATACTCACTCACAATAATAAAGAAGTTGACATCCATAAGTTTGCTTCCTTATAATTTCTTTTTGCAAATTTTCCAGCAAGTTGAACAAGTCTCCTACATTGCTGTCATTGTAACGTTTTGAAAAATGATTTATACAATTTCTGAAAAAATTAATTTCCCTAACACTTTTTATCCACAATAGATAAAAATTATTTACTTTAACATTTAGACTAACATCTAGTCTCTGAAATGAACATATTTTACAGAAAAAAACAGTTGTTAAATTACAGTTATAAAATATAATAAAAAGGAGCCCAGAGACTTTCTTCATTTTCAGATTTCCTGATACTGCAGTAATCTAGACTTGCCAAACATTATAGACTTGCATGGACTGTATTGGATATATTTGTTTCAGGGTCTGTGTGACAGACTATTTAACATTGTTATGTGAGGGAAAAAGTATCAGTAGCTACCTCAAAAACAGAATTGTTCTTTCTGACAACACTTCTTTAATTGCTTTTAAGAGGTCACCTTCTGCCTTTGTAATTTCGGCTGACCTGACCCTCTTTGGGACTGTCCAGGCTGTAGCCACTAAACAGCTGTTATTGCACATCCCAATTATAGGTTATAAGGATGGTAAGCACATAATTTCATCAAGCAGGAAAGTAATAACCCAATTTAATTACCCAAGCGCAATTAAGTTTGTTGTTATATTGCCCCAGATTAGCTTGTTGACATCCCTTTAACAGCACAGAGTCTCAGCTTATGCAGATCCCTTTGTTAAAACAATGGGCTTATGTAATTAACAAGCTTTGATGTGGATGCCCTGGGTGATAGATGAGTTGTGCAGGTGTCAAGTGGGAGTGGCATATTGTCTTGTGGTGGCATATATACCACACCCAACTGTATATTAGTCTGTGGTAGGTGCATGGTGTGCACATTGTACACTTTCAGTGCTTTTATAGACACATGTACTGCAAACTGGTGAAGTAAGGTTGAAGCTGGTGGGGAGATTACATAGGCCTGTGCCTTTTTCTGATTTTACTGTTATACTGTCAAGTCAACAGAGCAGCTTGGTCAGGGATTTCTCTGAGAGTCTAAACTAGTGCTCATGGCAGGCAAATTGAGAAAATATTCTTTTGTTCAAAACTGGGATTTTGAAAAGTTCTTATCTTTTCTAAATTTGGATATTAATTTTAACACTGGATTCATTGCAATAGTGTAAATCAAAGCTTTAGAGCCTCTTCATCTATACTGGTCCTGTTATCAGTGATATACAAATTACCTGTACAAAGCCATAACATTAGATAAAGCTTTATTAACATGAATTGGGAGATTTTTAATTCAAGTTTGGGAATTTTGATGTACATTTGCTGCAGACTTGTGAGCCGAATATCAGCCTCTGAACAGGTCTCGTTAAATCCATGGTAGATACTGTGCATGTTATCATGGTTGTATGGAGATACAGTAAACTATGGTTATCACAAACTCAAAGGGGCCTCTAATTTTTGTTTTAACCGTAGTTTGTTATAAGAATATATACAACAAAGGGACTGGATCAAAATACAGTTTGTTATATCCTTATAAGCGTGTTGGTTATAAACGTAGTTTAATGTATTTATAACTGAAATGGAAAAGTAATAATAATGTTTGTTCCAAATTAAAACATTTATACTTAGAGAAGCCATGGCCAAGTTGTGGGCATCATTCTGCATGTTCATCAGAGGTGTATTAAATTTACAATGAAAAATCTGTGAAGATTTGAGCGAAACAGAAACTAGATTTGTGTGAAACATGGACCATGGTGATGAATATAAACGTGACCACTGACTGTCCTTGTATTGTTGCCAGATGGTGAGATTGCTGAGGTGAGTCGCAAACAGAGAATGTTCGCCCGCAAGTCAATCAGGCGAGACCGCAAAAAACAGAAGGAACAGCAGAAGAAGATAGAGAACAGTAAGTTCCGATGGCTAGTTGCCATGGCAACAATACTTGTGTCTCTGACACAACTGTCTTAATTAGCGCCATGTCTTATTCATTATTATTATTCAGTTTATTCTGGGGTGGGGTAGCCTAATGGTTAAAGAATGCCTCCGTGGTCTAGTGGTAGAGCATCCGCCCGGAGAGTGGCAGGTCAGGGGTTAGATCCCTGGCCACATCATCCCAAAAGACGTTAAAAGATGGTACTTGTTGTTGCCCTGTCTGGTGCTCGGCATTTAGGGGCTAAAACAAGGACTGGTCGGCTCGGAGTCAGTATACTGTGTCTGAGTGGGGTATTCATGTTAAACTGCGGCATAGTATCTCAGTGTGCTTGCACTATAAATCGGCATCAGTCCGGACTGTACAAGCAGACACACACACGCTATGATGCGGACAGGGATCGAACTGCGGACCTTCCACTCTCCGGGCAGGCACTCTACCACTAGACCACTGAGACAGTCTCCTGGCTAAGGATCATCTGCAACAACAATAGTGTGATGTCATCATGATGGTTGATCAGTAGGAGACTATAGTTATAGATGTAATACCATATTTGACGTAATAAGCGCCCACGGTGATATTTACTAATATATTGGCTAGTGAACAATCCCAATTAGCACCCCTTCCGATTAATCAATGTACACAAGACTTATTTATTCGTGTATAATACGCACTCGTGTGTTATATCCACCCTTAATTATGGGTAAATAAATTCTGGAAAAATATATCTGTCGTGTATAATACACACAGACTTTTCTTTTGTATCAATTCAGGCTGTCAGCATAAACCACGAAATTTACGATCTATTAACTGTTTTGTTTGTTTGTTTTTTTAAAAATTCATTCTAATAAGAGCCCCCTATTTCTAATTTTGAAAGCGCCCTGGGCGCTTATTACGGCGAAAACGGTATATAGAGTATGTAGGTATTGTATTACTTGTGTGAGAGTACATGTGACCTGTTGTGTTTCAGACATGATATCCATGGAGGACTATCTGAGCAAGCAAGCAGAGTTCAAAATGTGGCTGAAAGAAGAGGTAAGCGAACCTTCATCTGTGTCACAATAAATGGAATGGTTATATGATGTTTGTTGGTTTGTTGTTTAACACCGCACTCAGCAATATTCCAGCTATATGACAGCGGTCTGTAAATAATAGAGTCTGGACCAGACAATCCAGTGATTGACATCGTGAGCATTGATCCACGCAATTGGGATACGACGACATGCATCAACCAAGTCAACGGGCCTGACCACCCAATCCCACTAGTCGCCTCTTTTGACAAGCAGAGTCGCCTTTTACAGCAAGCATGGGTTGCTGAAGACCTATTCCACCCCAGGTCGAATTATATATCAAGCATGCAAAGATTTAACAAATTTCCCTCTTGGAAATATGTTATCTTATGTTATATGTTAATATGAACCAGTTTGTTAATTTTGTGGGCATATTTCTGAAATAGAATATATATATATGTAATTCATTCAAAATACACCACAAACTGTATTGATGTCAATGAATCCTATGTTTAATTGACAGTCAAAACTTGAATAAAGGATTATGGTTTTGAATGTTTAGTATTTTCAGTATTTTCAAATTTTCCTTTTCATCAGAAGCAAAAGACAGCTGCTGACCTGAAGTCCCCAAAGTTGAAGACGTACTTCAAAGATTTCATGAAACTATGGAACAAGAAAAAGCTGCCACAGGTATGGAAGAATCTGTTGTCTCCTCACTTAGTGCTGACAACAGGAAGTAGTAACCAGCGATGGCAATATAAACATGTAATGTTAACATTGTTTTATCACAGTCAACCAGACATGTCATTGGTTAAAAATGTTTTGGGATCAATTAGACACAACCAGTAACCATTGGTAACATGAGCTTTAAAAAAATCTTAAGCTTGTTATCAATCGAACATATCATTTCTCATTTGAATTGTGAATTGTTATTTGGTAATTATTTTTTATTTCTCTGGAACATTAATGCTCACTAAGTGAAACAAATATTCAAACTTCAACACATGGTAAAAGAAAAAGTATGCTGGATGCTTCTATTGGTATTATCACTTTGACGAATGTATGACTATCTGCTTGACATATTTCTATTTCCTGCCATATCTCATTCAAAATCATTTTGTCGTTCGCAGAAATACTACCGTGGCTCCACTGGCACAGACACACCGCCGCCATCTCGTAACCAGCAGAGGTTCAGCTTTGTGGAGGGGTCTCCCTTCTCCGACATCCCTGGCTTCCATCACCCCATTGACCTGAGCCTAGAGGGCGCTGTGCTGCTTGACTCTCCGTTCTCCACGTTTGGCAAATCTCCAGGGGACCCCCTCACACCTCAATCAACACCACGGATCATCAAACTGCCAGACATCGTGAGTACACATGTTAACCATCGTATCCCAATTGCGTGGATCGATGTTCATGATGTAAATCACTGGATTGTCTGGTCCAGACTCGATTATTTACAGACCGCCGTCATATAGCTGGAATATTGCTGAGTGCTGCGTTAAACAACAAACCAAACCAAAACATATATTAACCCTCTTCATGTCTACTTGAACTACCACTGTGGATAGAGTGTCTGCCCGGAGAGTGAAGGTCAGTGGTTCATCCCCTGGATGTGTCATGCCCAATGTAAAAGATGGGTACTTGTTGCCCTACCTGACACTTGACATAAAGCGGATCATCCATGTTAATCTATAGCATGGTAATCAGTGGTGTAGCACTAGAAATAGCTACACTCATATCGTTGTATGTGTGAAATAATCTTGGACATGATGTTAAACCCCATACTCACCTCATGTCATCGTGATTAATATGGCTGGATGTGGTAAATAGTTTCATAGTGTATATAGAGAATCTCACCCAAGTGTCTTTTGATATCAAATATATCAATACGAGTTGATAAAAATGTTGATATATTTGATAAGACACGAGGATGAGATTTTATTTATCATCCAACATCATTCTTCCAACTTTTTCAGTTTGTAGACAGTAATTAGCAGTGTAAAGTGTAAAAAGTACTGCTAACAGCTACAGTAGCAGAGCCATTGGTGATGTCATTTGATTGTGATGCAATTTATTGCAGCGATATCTACACTGTAGATATGGCTTGATCTCGCCCAAGCGATATTTCCTGTGGGAGCCAGTTTTGGATGATAAATAGATGTGCATTGCTTTTAACTATCCTTATTGAGGTGCATAGCATCCATGGTCTTAGAGATGAAAAATGCATGTTCTGCAGAAAATTAATCAGGAAGATTTTATAGGCACTGTCTGAAGTTTGGATTAGCAAAGTCATCAATTTTTCTAACTGTAAACTTATATGATGTGATAGTGTGACCAGTGACACTAAGATGCATTATTGTTGGTATTTCCCAGAAGGACTCGGGTGCCGTGGACAAAGAGAACAGTTCTACAGATGGCAACATACAAAAGGTAATGGCTGCCCACATCTAGCTGACAAATACACACTGCAACTCAGAATATATGAACGGTGAACACAGAGTACATATATGGCTGCCGACATACTTGTCTTTCACGCATTTCCAAAGCACATAACATAATGGTTTACTTTGTTGAGCATGCAGACTGTTCTGCAAGTAAGTGTGACTAAAACGTCCCTCAAAGCAATAGTAATGCCACTGAGACAATCGTGACTCCTATACTTTAACATACAATCACTTTGGGGAAGGGGTCTTGGTCAGGTAATGTATCCTGGCCACTACCATATAAATTAGGAGACTCAGGCGGCCTGGCACAAGCTGCCCCCATACTTACAATCTATATGTGGCGGAAACATACTTCATGCATTTCAAAACTAATCAGCCTATATACAATAACTAGAAAAGCATGCACACTTTTCTTCAAGTTCATAGTCCTGCGATCGCATGTGTGAAATGGGGGCTGTGGTTTGTTTTGCCCAAGTACAGGCACTATAATATAGCTGTAAAGATGCTGATCACAGCTTAAAACAACCAAACGGACCTCCATTGTTACACTGGTCAACGGTTCAGTGTGCACTCCAGCTGCTTTCTCATCTCCCTGGGGAGTATACCGCAAGATGCCTATACAGCGCTTGAAAATTTCGAGTTACCATCTCACCCAACAGGGTACCCATTGACTGCTGGGGGAACAGAGGCGTAATTGAAACCAAGTCACTTGCCTTAGTAGCCAACACATTGCTTACAACCTGGGTTTGGTCCAGACAGCTGGCCCTGTGCGGATCCCATGACAGGATACCTCCCCAGAAACTGATGCTTTTCACAAGAGCTGTTTAAATGGGGATCACATGATCTGACTCTGGCCTGGTTATCATTGTATCCAGATGGTGTCGATTGTTGCTCATGCTTTCAGTCACTGGTTTGCATGGCCCTAATAAATATTGCATCCATATTGCAGGAATATGTTTTCAAGTAGCTTTCTGCTGACTGGAGTATTTCTGTGATTAGAGGACTTTACAGGCCTCAGTATTAGATGTGAAATCACTCTAACTAAGATATGAAGTATCCAACAGGATGACATTTTATTAATGTGTAATTCTCTGTCTTGCAGAACAATCCTGAACCTGTGTCTGAGAAAAAGAAGAAGAAGAGTAAGGGTACAACTCCCAAAAAATCAAAGTAGGTTGCTCAATTTGCTGGAATATTTTATTATATAAATGTGACTAGTTTCAGAAAATATGTGTATTAAATATATCGACTGTATCAGTTTTACCTTACGTATTGTATGTATATTTTATGAATACCAAATAGCTGGTAGATTTATATTTTGTTAAAAGTGATGTTAAGTACAAATTTCCTTGTTTCAACGGTACAATGTGTCCCCCGCCATGATATTGCTGGAATATTGCTAAAAGTGGTATTAAACCATAGTCACTAACTCCTTGTTTCAATCTTACAGACTGAAGAACGACAATCCCTACAAGGTTACGGTGTTGTCATGGACATCTAAAGGAGAACTCAATGTATCCCCGGCCAGCCCAGCATCAGAGGAAAAACAAGGCAAGAAGAAATCCTCAAAACCTAAGCCCCCTAAGCGGACCAGCCAGTCTACCAAGGTGAGGCTGGACACCTCCGTTCCCTACGAGGAGGTGAAGGATGCCAACCCTTTAGAGATCTCCGACTACGATCCTCTGTATGCAGACCCAGACCCATTCTTCAGTGGGAGTCTATCAGTATCAAGGTCAAAGAGTCTGGACTCCGGCCTTCATGTCGACAGTCCTCGTCCAGTGACTGATGGCTGTAAGAGTGTGGAAGAGATATATGCTGTGCCGGTCAAGAAGAAGCGGATGTCTGCTGAGAAGGGAAAGGTAGTTGAGGAGGTAACATCGCCACCTCCTCCTCTGCCTCCAAAACGGAAGTCACCTCTGGAGACCTGGCCGTACCAGGTGATTAATAATGCTGAAGAAGCTCCCGTGTTCTCGATCAAGAAAAATGGCCATGAGTTCACATCTCCAGCAAAAATAAGCAATGGATCTAAATCTGTGTTCAGTCCTCAAAAGATGGAAAGTCCCATGAGGATGGCAGTGTCCATGCCTGATCTGTGTGATCCTAAACTAGATGAAAAAGAAGATGTAGACTCTTCCTCCTCCTCATCTGATGAAGAATCTGAGCCAGAGTCTTTCGAGATAAAGGTGAAGATTCTGGATCCTGAAGTCCAAGCATTTCTTGATGAAGATCTGTCTACCCTACCCCCACCTCCTGACCTGGTGTCAGACATCTATCCCCCAGTCAGACTCTCCCTCCTGCCACCCCCACCCCCAGAACTCTTGATGGACACACCGCCAATGGAGAATGAATACCGACCATCTATTGAAGCTTATGGTTCTCAGTCATCATTGATTGCTGAATGTGGCACTCCAAGGTCATCTAAGGTCTTGGAGGCCATGCCTTCATACTGTTGTACTACACCTAAATCCCTACTGTCTCTGGACTGTTCATCTACCGAGACTCCTCCTCCAACCCTTGTTCCCATCACACCATTAGCACTCCCCATCCTGGAAGCAGTTAACGAATCAGAGGAGACACCACAAGACATGGAACCAAATCATCAGTCAAAAGCTCCTGAAAACTCAGTATTAGCAGTTCCAGTTCAGGTTACCCAAGTCAAAGAAATGTCCACAAGTTCTCGAAGAGTCTCCGTAGGGCCTGTGCTGGTCCCACCTCCAATGAAGTCCAAATTGCACAAACCTGACCTGTGCCAGTTATCCAGTGAGAGTGAAGCTAGCATGGATCAGAAACCCCCATCTACTGGTGACACACCCAATCATAACTACTTGACAGATGCCCTCACAGACCTGGACACAAGTACAGAGAAGGATGATGTGTTCACCTACCGCCAAGCACTGTCTGGTGCGATGAAGTCACTGAAGACTGCCTATGCCTCTTCTATCGAAGACATCACAGCAGATGTCCCTAGACGACATCGGAACCTCGGTAAAGGCCTGAACACAAACTTGTATACCGAAGATGTTATTGACCAGAGGACCACACCAAAGCACGACACTAGGAACAGATATCATTCTGAAAACAGTGCTGAACATCTAAAGAGGACCATCCAAGAAATGAAGCAGTCTGAAGGTAGTTCCAGTTCTACATCCAGCAGTGTATCAGAGAACTCAGAAGGGCATGAAGTAAAAAAGGTAATGAAAAAGCCACCAGTGCTGAAACCAAAGCCAAACAAAAGCAAAGTTGCTGAGGCAGTTGAAAAGGCGCGACAGAGACAGTCGTCCAGTGACCGTAGCTCAGTGTCCAGTTCGGCCAGTGACCGGGGCTCGGTGTCCAGTTTAGCCAGTGACAGATCATCCAGGTCCAGTAGTGAGGTGTCCAGTGAGGAGAACATGCAGAGAAAGCCTTCAAACTCATCTGGATCTGTATCACGAGTGCTTGGATCATTGAACCAGAACTGTGTCAATCGTTCAACACCATCGCCAAAGAAACCTGCCAGAACATTCAGTGCTAAGAAAACCAGTGGTGATAAACCACAGAGCCCCAGAACCCCCTTGACACCAACTGGGCAGGTGAGAAGCATCTTGAAGACAACTCCAGTTTCTGGGACATGTGACAGAGAAGGTCAAGGTCAAAACTTTGACAGGAAGGCATCCTGTTCAAGGTCACTCACAGAGAAGGTTGTGGAGCAGACAAGGCCCTCTTTGGGTTGGGATGTGTTTGAGACAGACATTGACAGTGTGCTTGATGATGACTGTGAAAACAAAGACCCTAATTGTGCCTCACGGGGAGTCCGGGAAACAGATCTAGATAGGATTCTCGAGGAGATGCAGTCCAATTATCCACTGTCTCCCCTCCTCAGTGTTGATACAGCCTCAGAGATGAACATATAGACTACAGGGTATAACTATCAGCAGTAGGACAATCCTGCTGGATCTTTCCAGTAAACCCGTAATACTGCTGCTTCAGATTATACACATAGACAACTATATTTTCAACCAACTGATCCAAATTTGCAGATGTTGTGCAAATGCATCAAAATAGGGTATAGAGTATGTGTGTTGTGGGATTGATCCATTTTTATTTGAAAGTGGGTGGGCTGAGGGAAAACCCCCCTAACATGATTGCTGTGCTACGAGTATTTCGAATCTTTATTTCTGCAGTCATTGCTTTGAGGGTGCGTGTCACAGTGTAATGCCAATACTAGACAATGCTAGCGGTAGCAATATTGTATATTCTGTATGATACTTGTAAATTACCTTTCTGCAAGAACTAGAAGTCACTCTCTGCTTACCATTTACAATATGTCTTTCATGAAACTGTATTTGAAAAGTAGTAAGAAATAATAAAATGGTTGCATCAAACGGAATGAAAACAATATTGTTTTAGTTCAGGATTTATTGAATAACACTTGAAAATTATCTTGAAGTACACATAATTTACAGGTGCATCCTTGATCTACATCTTGTTGAAAGTTCCTGCTTTTTATGCATGTGCATGTTTTCATAATGTCCAGCTAATAATGTATTGTCAGCCACTCTTTGTCATACCATGATAAATGTAAAGTAATATTTCTGTGATCTTTCTTTTCTATCAGATTAATTCATATTTTTTTCTTATTTCAAAGATTCTGGTTGTATCTTTCAGTGTAAAAGTGCTAAGTTTTGTTATTGGTAAAGCTTCAAATAAAAAAAGTGACAGTTTAAATTTGAATTCCTTTCCAAAACAGGTAAAAACATGGCTGTTAAAATAAGTGCGTATGCACATTTGAGAATTGTTAAGTAGGTTTTGAGCCTCAGATATCAACAGTTGTCATCACAAGACCAAGACCAAGATTTGCATCCTTGAATAATCACTGTACTATTACTCCATTCTAGAATGATTAATACCATGGACCAATTCACCACCATAGCTTCATTTAGAGTCTCATACGGGGAACATATCCCAATGCTTGTCGTAAGGGGTGCCTTAATGGATCAGGAGATCGGGCTTGGTGACTTGGTTGATGGCATATGTCATCATTCCCCAATACCAATCACTGGATTGTCTGGTCCAGACGCTAACATTTACAGGCTGCTGTCGTATAGCTGGAACAATGCTGAGTGTGGCATTTAACAAACAATCAATCAAAGGACACAATGCTAAATATAGTGGTCCAAACAATTTCAACACATCTTTCATCATTGGAACAATCAGCATTTCCAGCGGCACCCAACTTGACCTGGACAACAGCGAATGTCTTGTAAGTTGTTGTCAGAGTAGGCATTTGATTGGTTGTTGATTTCAAGCTAATGAGCAAGAGATTGTGATGACATTGAAGGGCTGCTGATATCACTTCCAAAATGAAGGTATTTGTCAATACTAAACCCTTGATCATAGAGGATGGATTTGAACAACGTTATAATATCATTAGTCTGTCTCACAGACCCTGATACAAATATATATCAAATACAGCCCATGCAAGTCTATAATGTTTGGCAAGTCTAGATTACTGCAGTATCTGAAAATGAAGAGAATCACTGGGCTCCCTTTTATTATATTTTTATTAAGATAACTGAACAATTTTTTTTCTTTACGATATGTTCATTTCAGAGACTAGATGTTAGTCTATTATATCATGAGTATTATATCCATTCCCCTGGATGCCAACGGTATAGCACCATAATCACTGTTTATAGGGTGCACCTTAGTTGAATACATGTTAATATTTTTTTTCGTAATCACAAGGACCCCATAATCAAAATAGAAATTGCATGCCTCATAATGTGTATTTGTGCCATACAAGTATCTTCCATTCCTTACAGGGCAGCTAAAGGCTCTGATACAATGATCATGTCCCGATAAATGTACTTACACTTTATACAACAATGCATTACCCGAACATTTACCAACACACTGGGTTTGCATGACCTGTTCACTTAAACGGATATGCTTTTCATGGAACTAAGTATTTGGCTGTGCACCAAGTCTTGTTCTTGCAACTGCACGTCACTCATCTGAATATATTTTTCTTGGCACTACTGAGCAATGTCATCCTCATCAATTCTTTGGAAATCTGTCTCAAGTAGCTGTATTCCATGTACATAAATGTGCTATTAAATGCCTGATATACCTTTACGTTTTGTCTTTTCTTCCATTGTGTGCAAAAAGCATCTGTGATCAATATTGGTTCAGAGAGGAACCGAACCCAGACCACAGGCGTGGTGAGCTAACACATTAACCACCAGGCTACGCCACTACACGAATTTAGGAGAGTGAGCGAGTATGGTTTTACGCAGCTTTAGCAATATTCCAGCAAAATTACAGCGGGGGACACCAGAAATGGGCTTTACCCATTGTGCCCATGTGGGAAATCGAACCTGGGTCTTCAGCGTGACAAACAAACGCTTTAACCAATAGGCTACCCCCCCGTCCCAAATCTAGGAGAGAAAGTAAACAATATATTATAGGTTGGCATGTTGGGGATACGCGCCAACCTGTGGACTGTAAATGCTGGTCCATACCAGACAAATCAGTACTTGATATTATTATACCTCTATTAAGTTTGGTTTGGTTTGTTGTTTAACGCCGCACTCAGCAATATTCCAACTATATGATGGCGGTCTGTAAATAATGGAGTCTGGACCAGACAATCCAGTGATTAATATGAGCATTGATCCACCCAATTGGGATCGATGACATGCATCCACCAAGTCAGCGAGCCTGACCACCCGATCCCATTAGTCGCCTTTTATGACAAGCATAGGTTGCTGAAGACCTATTCTATCCCGGAATCTTCACGGGTTACCTCTATTAAGAATCTTGCAGTTCCATTGGTGAATCCGTACCACGTGACGAAACAATACAATGTTACGATTTCAATGTAGACCTCGAATATTGACTCGTCACATGATCAGTAGTGAGATGGTAGTCCAGATCACATACTTTGTGTACCCCTCTGACACTGGCATCGCTCCAATGGCCGAAAGTGATGAATACACAATGCCATTTAGAAAGTGGTCAGATGTAACAAATGTTATATTTGGGATAACAGTTTCTTAGTAAAGTACAGATTCTCGTACTTTTTTTGGGGGGGGGGGGGGGGAGTCCTGTCTGGGATTCGAACCCTAACTCCCAGAGTAAGGCACCTAATCGCCAGCTCACAAAGTCAGCAATCTAACCCACTCTAGTCCACTAAAATTTGACCACTTTCTAAGTGGCATTGTGTATTCTCATACATGAAGGCAGTCTGTCAAATATCAAGTGTGGACCAGACAATCCATCGAGTGATATATTATACAGCAACAATCGACACCATCGCGATTTGATAAAATGCACACCGAGTCTGACCACCTGATCCCCACTTGAGCCTCACATCCAGAATCTTCACAGTGAGACGATATCCAGGAGGATACAATGTTACACAAACAGCTCCAAACTGTATAACCCCCTAGCATCATTTCCATTGCTGTCACTCCAGGACACACCCGTAATGGAGCCTTGTGTGTCTGTACCTAGGATTCATACAGGCAAGAACACACTTTGCACTGGAATCATCTTTTCTAACCTTCCCCACAAAGAACCTTCCATTCTTCATAATAAAACAATTTATTTCAGTAAATATACAATGTCATGTTTTGATCGCAAGTATGACTTTCTTTTTCCTCTTCCTCTTCTTCTCTCGGAGTCGGTCTGTGGCATCCTTGAAGAACATGACCTCGTCTGTCCTCTCGATCTGACCCTGCAGGAACTGTAGCCCGGCCAAGTTGAACCCAATCTGGTCCTGAAACATTGAACAAGTACAGTTGACGAACAGCAGACTAGGTCATGGAAAACAATCCGAGGGACTACTCAGCATTCAAAAAATCTGCAGGCAGGAAATCTGAACAGTAAATTTATTATATACTCTGTAAGTGAACATGTCATGAGAGTAATAAGTTAGTGTTAAATACTAACATAAACAGTCCCATGTGCCTAGATAGTGAAATCCATGAACATAGCTAAGTTGCCAGAATTTGCTTGACGATGAGATTTGAACCTAGCAGAATCTCACACAATTGGGATCGATGACATGCATCAACCAAGTCAGCGAGTCTGACCACCCGATCCCATTAGTCGTCTCTTACGGCAAGCATGGGTTGCTGAAGACCTAGTCAATCCCGGATCTTCAAGGGTCTGATGTGACTTGTGGGTGAGTGCTTCCCTAGGGTTGGGTGACCTGTGAATGTGCCTACCCTATGCTGCATGACCTGTAAGCAAGTGCTTATTGTGTGTTACTGCAAGTTGTTGACCTGTGAGTGCCTATCCTGAACTGTGCGGCCCGTGAGAGTGCTTACATTGAGCTGTGTGAGTGCTTACCCTGAGCTGTGTGAGTGCTTACCCTGAGCAGGGTGTGAGTGCTTACCCTGAGCAGGGTGTGAGTGCTTACCCTGAGCAGGGTGTGAGTGCTTACCCTGAGCTGTGTGAGAGTGCTTACCCTGAGCTGTGTGAGAGTGCTTACCCTGAGCTGTGTGTGAGTGCTTACCCTGAGCGGGGTGTGAGTGCTTACCCTGAGCAGGGTGTGAGTGCTTACCCTGAGCGGTGTGTGAGTGCTTACCCTGAGCTGTGTGACCTGTGTATGAGTGCTTACCCTGAGGAGTGTGACCTGTGTGACTGCTTACCCCGAGCTGTGTGACCTGTGTGACTGCTTACCCCGAGCTGTGTGACCTGTGTGAGTGCTTACCCTGAGCTGTGTGACCTGTGTGTCAGTGCTTACCCTGAGGAGTGTGACCTGTGTGAGTGCTTACACTGAGCTGTGTGACCTGTGTGTGAGTGCTTACCCCGAGCTGTGTGACCTGTGTGTCAGTGCTTACCCTGAGGAGTGTGACCTGTGTGAGTGCTTACACTGAGCTGTGTGACTTGTGTGACTGCTTACCCTGAACAGTGTGAGTGCTTACCCTGAGCTGTGTGACCTGTGTGTGAGTGCTTACCCTGAGGAGTGACCTGTGTGAGAGTGCTTACCCCGAGCTGTGTGACCTGTGTGTGAGTGCTTACCCTGAGCTGTGTGACCTGTGTGAGTGCTTACCCCGAGCTGTGTGACCTGTGTGTGAGTGCTAACCCTGAGCTGTGTGACCTGTGTGAGTGCTTACCCCGAGCTGTGTGACCTGTGTGTGAGTGCTTACCCTGAGCTGTGTGACCTGTGTGAGTGCTAACCCTGAGCTGTGTGACCTGTGTGAGTGCTTACCCCGAGCTGTGTGACCTGTGTGTGAGTGCTTACCCTGAGCTGTGTGACCTGTGTGAGTGCTAACCCTGAGCTGTGTGACCTGTGTGAGTGCTTACCCCGAGCTGTGTGACCTGTGTGAGAGTGCTTACCCTGAGCTGTGTGACCTGTGTGAGTGCTTACCCCGAGCTGTGTGACCTGTGTGAGAGTGCTTACCCTGAGCTGTGTGACCTGTGTGAGTGCTTACCCCGAGCTGTGTGACCTGTGTGAGTGCTTACCCCGAGCTGTGTGACCTGTGTGAGAGTGCTTACCCTGAGCTGTGTGACCTGTGTGAGTGCTTACCCCGAGCTGTGTGACCTGTGTGAGTGCTTACCCCGAGCTGTGTGACCTGTGTGTGAGTGCTTACCCTGAGCTGTGTGACCTGTGTGACTGCTTACCCTGAGCTGTGTGACCTGTGTGTGACTGCTTACCCTGAGCTGTGTGACCTGTGTGTGACTGCTTACCCTGAGCTGTGTGACCTGTGTGTGACTGCTTACCCTGAGCAGTGTGACCTGTGTGAGCGCTTACCCTGAGCTGTGTGACCTGTGTGACTGCTTACCCCGAGCTGTGTGACCTGTGTGAGAGTGCTTACCCTGAGCTGTGTGACCTGTGTGTGACTGCTTACCCTGAGCTGTGTGACCTGTGTGTGACTGCTTACCCTGAGCTGTGTGACCTGTGTGAGAGTGCTTACCCTGAGCTGTGTGACCTGTGTGTGACTGCTTACCCTGAGCAGTGTGACCTGTGTGAGCGCTTACCCTGAGCTGTGTGACCTGTGTGTGACTGCTTACCCTGAGCAGTGTGACCTGTGTGACTGCTTACCCTAAGCTGTGTGAGTGCTTGCCCTGAGCTGTGTGACCTGTGTGAGCGCTTACCCTGAGCTGTGTGACCTGTGTGAGTGCTTACCCTGAGCTGTGTGACCTGTGTGACTGCTTACCCTGAGCTGTGTGACCTGTGTGTGACTGCTTACCCTGAGCAGTGTGACCTGTGTGAGCGCTTACCCTGAGCTGTGTGACCTGTGTGTGACTGCTTACCCTGAGCAGTGTGACCTGTGTGACTGCTTACCCTAAGCTGTGTGAGTGCTTGCCCTGAGCTGTGTGACCTGTGTGAGCGCTTACCCTGAGCTGTGTGACCCGTGAGTAAGTACTTACTGTGTGCTCATGCTGGGCTGTGAGAGTAAATGTTTACTGTGTTACTGCGACTTGTTGACCTACGAGTGCTTGTCCTGAGCTGTGTGAGAGTGCTTACCCTGAGCTATGTGGCCTGTGTATTTGCTTACCCTGAGCTGTGTGACCCATGTGAGAGTGCTTGTCCTGAGTTGCTTGACGTGTGAGACACTGCTTACACTCAGCTGTGTGACCTGTGTGAGAGTGCTTGTCCTGAGCTGTGTGAGAGTGCTTGTCCTGAGCTATGTGGCCTGTGTATTTGCTTACCCTGAGCTGTGTGACCCATGTGAGAGTGCTTGTCCTGAGTTGCTTGACGTGTGAGACACTGCTTACACTCAGCTGTGTGACCTGTGTGAGAGTGCTTGTCCTGAGCTGTGTGAGAGTGCTTGTCCTGAGCTGTGTGAGAGTGCTTGTCCTGAGCTGTGTGAGAGTGCTTACCCTGAGCTATGTGGCCTGTGTGTTTGCTTACCCTGAGCTGTGTGACCTGTGTGAGAGTGCATGTCCTGAGTCTGTCTATGACCGGCAGCAGCGCCTGGCTCGAGGTAATCTGACCATGGTGTACTCTGAAATCAGAAACATGACATTAATCACCATCACATTTACATGTAAAATATCCTTATTTCACTGAATCACCGCAGGCAACATCTCTGGTTGGTTGGTTGGTTTGTTGTTTAACGCCGCACTCAGCAATATTCCAGCTATATGAAGGCGGTCTGTAACATCATTGACATCATGAGCATCGATCAACGCAATTGGGATCGATGACATGCATCAACCAAGTTAGCGAGCCTGACCAACCGATCCTGTTAGTCGCCTTTTACGGCCTATTCTACCCCGGAATCTTCACCGGGTGGCGCAACATTTCTGGATTCTCTAGATAGAAGACATTTGTGAATCTCTCCACAGCGATGGACTGCCTGTTCTTGACACCTAACTTGTCCCTACCTGAGGAGGAAGAGGAGGCATCGGCAGGAGAGCTCCGGCTCCCATCCGGCCTGGAGGAAGATGTCCAGCACCTTCAGCAGGTCCATCACGTAGCCGAACGGCAGCACCAACAGCGCCTCCTCCAGCTCACTGCAACACCGACAACAACATACATAACACATTCCTCAGTGAACGTAGCACCAACAGCGTCTCCTCCAGCTCACTGCAACACCGACAATAACCTACACAACACATTCCTCAGTGAACACAGCACCAACAGCGCCTCCTCAAGCTCATTGCAACACCGACAACACATTCCTCAGTGAACACAGCACCAACAGCGCCACCTCAAGCTCATTGCAACACCGACAACACATTCCTCAGTGAACACAGCACCAACAGCGCCACCTCAAGCTCATTGCAACACCGACAACACATTCCTCAGTGAACACAGCACCAACAGCGCCACCTCAAGCTCATTGCAACACCGACAACACATTCCTCAGTGAACACAGCACCAACAGCTCCTACTCCAGCTCACTACAACACCGACAATAACATAAACACATTCTTCAGTGAACGGCAGCCCCAACAGCTCCCATTCCAGCTCACTGCAACACCGACAACATTTTCACATAACATTCCTCATTGAACGGCAGCCCCAACAGCGCATAATTCCAGCCCACGGCAACACCGACAATAACAAACACAACATATACCCGTTTTACTCCTACAGTACACTGAGAACAATGACATTTTGTGAACATTTCACATGACAGCCTGCAATATTACGACTATATTATAGTAGCCTGTTAATTATCAAGTCTAGGCCATGCCATGTAAATTTCAGGTACAATCTTTAACATTTGGTCTTACGAAGTGCAAATTCGACAAGTGACAGATTGTTAGATTTCCCTTGCTGGGTCTGTATCGGCGAATATTAAATGCTGACGCCTGATCAGGTATGTAGCAACAAAAAGAAACTACTTGATATTTCTAATGTCTCCAGCCCTATGGTAACAGTAAGCCAGGGCGGCCTACGTCACGAAGCAAAAGCTGCAGTTTCTCTCCCAGGTTGTTTAATGCAGCCATGATGACACACAACAAGACCGCTAGTCCATGGACCTGGTTTCTTATGTATGCTGTACATTATATCTACACAAGGCTTTCTAACTTTAAGTAACTTACAATATTACCACCAGTGACCTGATCCTGAAACATGCATTGGGCTCTGAGACACTTTTCTGTCCTGGAATCACCACAGATGATGTCCAACTGAATAACATGCTTGAGGATTTTGTTTGTTGTTTAACGCCGCACTCAGCAATATTCCAGCAATATGATGGCGGCCTGTAAATAATCGAGTCTGGACCAGACTATCCAGTGATTGACATCATGAGCAATGATTCACACCATTGGGATAAAGTGACATGCATCAACCAAGTCAGCGAGTCTGACCCCCCGATCCTGTTACTCGCCTCTTACGGCAAGAATGGTTTGCTAAAGACCTATTCTACCCCAGATCTTCACGGGTCACATCCTTGAGGATACCTCACCTTCATGAATACTGCAGGTATGACAGTTCTAAATGTTTATAACAAATGGGGTTCAGATTATGTAATCCTTTCTTCTAATATCATGCTGACCTTGATTTTATCCTCTTGATGACCTCCAGCAGGTAGCGTGTAGGGGAGGTAACTCCATACGCCAGGATGAGTGGGTTCAGTTGGGGAGGAGCCAGCTACAAGTGAAACGCGATATATACTACTCAACTTTCCATGATACACAAAACTGATTCCAAATGTATATTTAAATATTTCTGACATAACTGATTATCTATCAAAAGAGGATTAGCATAACATGCAATGCAATTTTTATTAATACCATCTCTCAATTATGAAAAAAATATACTTTCTTTTTTGTTTCCATTTTCCTATATTTTTGTTTTGAGCATTGTATTAAAGTATTAGGATTTTTATAAAAAAAATTAAAAGGGAAATAAAAACAAAACGTGCAGCAGACTTTATGATGATGTGGGTGGTGCCTGAGAACCAAGACTATTATTTTATTTAGCCTAATACCCCTGACATTGACCCCAAGTTCAAAACAGGAAAAAAGCAATATTTTCTCAGAAAATACACTTATTAAAATCAAACTTTGCACTGTACCTCTCCTATTGGTGTAGAAAGTGTACACTAAGTTTGAAAAGAATCTATGCAGCAGTTCTCAAGTTACAGGTCGCACAGGAAATGTCCTCGAAGAAAGGACGGATGGAATTCCTTGATTTAACCAGGGGTCCGGAAAATTTAAAATCCCAATCTGCATCGGTCGACTGGCTGTCGTCACGCTTTCGCTTCTTGTCTGAGGTTACGTATCGTAACATTGTGAGGATAATGAGGTACATCGATGATGCAAGGTATTAACGTACAGTACAGTTCACTTTCACTCAAATTAACAAGATGTTCTCAGTAATTAATCCTCGATTAATCAGTGTCAACTCAGTTTATTGCCTATTACAGTGATTGACCGATTGGACTATCATGTAGGTACGATGTATTTACAGCAATCAAAACAAACAAAGCTTGTCAGTGTAGTTAATCTTCATTGTGTTGCAACTGCAGACAGAAACTGCTCAGTCCTAACTGTTGATCATGTCCGGTCAAAATTTAAGAATGTCCGGACAATACTTTTTAAAATGTCCGGTAAGCAATATTTTAAAACGGACATTTGAGATTCCCAATCGGACATGTCCGGCGCATATGACGGTTTCCGGACCCCTGGGTTTAACTATATACCTCCACCCTTTTAGGTTGTTGTATAATCATGATAATAAGAGTTACACTAAATGCCGATTCTGTCCATATGACACTACACACAGAAAACACTCAATGTCTCACCTCCTTGCCCGTCTTCTGACACTCGGCCTTGTGCAGCTGGATGTTGGCGCTCTCCTCCCTGTACACCTCGATGGCCTCCATCAGCCGCTCAGCCTGCAACACACACACAAACTGTAGCCACCCAGTGCCACGAGGATTATGGAATCGTAACATCTACCACAATTCCCTTCTATGATGGTAATAGCTAGGTGTTTGCAAGTACATGTACACACGTAAGAAGTCAGTGTCACTCACCGCCTTAACAGTTTCCACCGTTTTCTTCCCAGCCAGAGCGACCTCAGTGGTTGTCTCCCCTGGTACCTGAAACACATCACATGTTTAATTGATTGACAGCTGTTTAACACTAAACTTAAAATATTCCAACTATTAGACGGCAGTTGGGATAAAATGACATGCATCAACCAAGTCAGAGAGCCTGACCACCTGACCTGTTAGCCGCCTCTTACGACAAGCATAGGCTGGTAAATTCTAACCCAGACCATAGCTTGTGACTGAGCACCTGTACAAGACGTTGTCCTCTTTCATGGACTATCCCGAGCCTACTTAGATCACTAAGGAGGGAATGTTGCTTACCACCTTGCTGATCAGGTTGTACCGATTGCACCGATCAAGTTGTATCGATTGCACCGATCAAGTTGTACCGAATGCACCGATCAAGTTGTACCGAATGCACCGATCAAGTTGTACCGATTGCACTGATCAAGTTGTACCAATTGCATCGATCAAGTTGTACTGATTGCACCGACCAAGTTGTACTGATTGCACCGACCAAGTTGTACTGATTGCACTGACCAAGTTGTACTGATTGCACTGATCAAGTTGTACTGATTGCACCGACCAAGTTGTACCGATTGCACGGATCAAGTTGTACTGATGAAGTTGTATCTGATTGTACTCACCACTACCTCCATTTCATTAGATATCGCCTCTTCAAACTCCTGCTCACGTTCCTGGAACACACACAAGTGTAATGAGACAATGATAGTGAGTACATTGTGGTTATACATTGAAATAAGAAGCTTGTTTAAAACCCCATAGATGTAAGATACTTAATTCCTCAAGTTTGACACATCTCCATCCAAGAAAAGCTAACGGTAAAAATGTTGACATCCTAAAAGAGATTCTTGTGATTCATGACAGTATTTCAGTTCAATCCTCTGGTGACTACTTACCATCTCCCTCTCGTCCTCCAGCACCAGCACCTCCTGTGTCTTCTCCCACAGACGCAGGGACCGGTCCTGGGAGCCCGACACCACAAAGTTAGCACTGGAGCTGACAGTCAGACTGAACACCTCTCCATGGTGACCCTGCAAACATGGACACATCCAGCATCAGTTAGCCATCACATCACCTGCATCAACACTAGTGTCTCCACATTGTTATGATTGTTGCTCACCCTCATGTTGATAGTCACCCAATGAAGGGGCAATAACTAGCCCTGAGATGTTGTGGACGTATAATAAAGAAGTTTTTGCCCAATACTCCTTGACTTGGTATTGAAGCAGACCAATTTCCTACCTGGAGTGTTGAGACGAGCTCGAAGTTGTCTGCATCCCACTGTTTGAGCTTCCTGTCCTTGCCGCCACTGAAGAACAGGTGAGTCCGGGGCACGAACTGTATACACATGATGCTGAAACATGGAGCTGTGGTTACATTGTGGTTACATTTAGAGTCCGGGCACAATGCTGAAACATGGAGCTGTGGTTACATTGTGGTTACGTTTCGAGTCTGGGCACAATGCTGAAACATGGAGCTGTGGTTACATTGTGGTTACATTGTGGTTACATTTCGAGTCTGGGCACAATGCTGAAACATGGAGCTGTGGTTACATTGTGGTTACATTTCGAGTCCAGGCACAATGCTGAAACATGGAGCTGTGGTTACATTTCGATACCGGGCACAATGCTGAAACATGGAGCTGTGGTTACATTGTGGTTGTGATTACATTATGGTTACATTGTGGTTACAGTTTAAGTCTAGGCACGAAACTGTATACACATAATGTTGAAACACGGTGCTGTGTGGCTGCATTGAGGTTACATTGTAGTTATGTTGTGGTTACATTCACATTTCCGGGCACACAACTGTCAGTCATATTGTTCAGAACACCATTTTGTTACTTGGTTTACCAAACCAGCAACAAAAATGTTCATGTCAAATATACATAAACATAGATTTTTCTTTCTGCCCAAACTTAACTACTGTACTCTGCAATTACAGAAATAAAAAATACAAACCAAAGAAAATAAGCCGAGTGATCCGTCATTTTTCACCCAACAGTTACTTTCAGAAATCACCCAAAAAAACATGATTTAAAAATATTACTTTTATTTGTGAATGGGGCCAACAGCCATGTGCAGGGCATGATAGTGAAACAGGGCTCCATGTCCTCGCATCTTGTTCAAGCTGCTTCCAGTGACGGGGCTAGCAGGTGACAAGAGGCAGTTGTTGATATTCCAGGCGTTTATTACACCCAGGTCACCTGGACCAAAGATGTCAGTACTGATACCTGGGGGTGATGTCACAATAGTTTTCATTTAAAAGACTTAACCATAAGTTCCTAATTGATGCAGTCCTTACATCCCTAAGTCTGACTGAAGGCTGTCTCCTGTCTCCAGCCCTATGGTAACAGTAAGCCAGGTCAGCCTACGTCACGAAGCAAAAGCTGCAGTTTCTCTCCCAGGTAGTTTAATGCAGCCATGATGACACACAACAAGACCGCTAGTCCATGGACCTGGTTTCTTATGTATCCTGTACATTATATCTACACAAGGCTTTCTAACTTTAAGTAACTTACAATATTACCACCAGTGACCTGATCCTGAAACATGCATGGGGCTCGGATCCTTCTTACGTTACTAAGAGCAAGCCATGCCACAATGACAAAGATAATCAACTCATGCCATATTCACAGCATTGCAATCTTGTATATTATGGTAGCCTAGCAACACATCACATATGTCTCCAGCCCTATGGTAACAGTAAGCCAGGGCCGCCTATGTCACGAAGCAAAAGCTGCAGTTCCTCTCCCAGGTTGTTTAATGCAGCCTTGTCGACACACAACAAGACCGCTAGTCCATGGACCTGGGTTTTTTATAATATCTTGTACATTTCTATTTGTATTAACATTTATTTGAGGTTGAAAACCTTTCTAAAGATTGGATCATTGTATTGTGGGGAATTGAGTTAGTGAGCGAGCGAGTATGGTTTTACGTCGCTTTTAGCAATATTCCAGCAATATCACGGGGCGGGGACACCAGAAAAGGGCTTCACACATTGTTCCGATGTCAGGAATCGAACCCTGGTCTTCGGCGTGACGAGCGAACGCTTTAACCACTAGGCTACCCGACTGCCCCTGTGGGGAATTGAACTCGGGTCTTTGGTGTGACAAGCGAATGCTACCCCACCACCCCTCCTGTTCCACAGCATCACAATAGTGCTTATAACTCAAGTGTCCAAGAAATCTACTGGGACCCTTCTTACGTTACTAAGAGCAAGCCATGCCACAATGACAAAGATAATCAACTCATGCCATATTCACAGCATTGCAATCATGTGTTTTATGGTAGCCTAGCAACACATCACATGTCTCCAGCCCTATGGTAACAGTAAGCCAGGTCGGCCTATGTCACGAAGCAAAAGCTGCAGTTTCTCTCCCAGGTTGTTTAATGCAGCCATGATGACAAACAACAAGACGGCTAGTCCATGGACCTGGTTTTTTTTATAATATCTTGTACATTTCTATTAACATTTATTTGAGGTTGAACACCTTTCTAAAGATTGGTTCAAGTAAAACATATTCTACTTGGGATAAAACTTTAAAGGAAAGAGGAAGCTTGATTAATATCCTATAAATGCAAGATATAATACTTCATTCTTCAACTGTTGAGATATCTCCATCCCAGAAAAGCTAACCGTGAAAATGTTGACATCCTCAAAGAGATTCTTATGATTCATGAATCTCACTGGATGTCAAGTTGACTATTTTTCACTTAACACTTATTATACCTACGAGTGAGTGAGTGAGTTTGGTTTAACGCCGCTTTTAACAGTATTCCAGTTTTATCGCGGTGTGTCAGCTTAATGTGGGAGGAAAGCCAGAAGTGATGCAGGTGTTAGACGTTTACCACTTTCGGTGAAACCCACGAGCACGGGTATGGTGCTGACAAACCTAGTAACATAATTGGGGCGAACCGGGATTCGAACCCACAATCATAGGTTTCTGGCGTGTCCAAGGGATGCAACTCTGCACAGCGAATCGCGGCGCCTTAGACGACTGGGCCACCCCTGCTCCCCCTATTATACCTACGAAGGCGATGTCATTCATTTTCAGATTTAATGCATGACACATGAAACTGAGGTAGATCTTGTTGAACGGACAACTTGCAGACCGGTTCGAGTGTTAGTTCCAACCCCCAACCTGACATTGAACTGTTCAACTGACAAAAGTATCCCTCAAACACTTGTAAATAAAGTCTTTGTATCTTGGCAAACTAAGGCCAAATAATCTCCAAGCTGTTTTGAACAAGCAGGGAGATCTGCCCCTACTTCTAGACAACTCTCTTCCTTCCTGCCGCTCTGCACACTGTGGAGCAACCAATGCCACAAATCCATACAACTCTAAAAGTTGTGAAGCTTGATCAGTTACCACAATGATCCACTATCGATACACCCCACACCTTGTATTACTGTCTCTGGCCTCACAGGCAAGGAAGCTATCAAAGCTCCCACACAGCATCTAAGGCCATATTTTCTGTTCCAGGGTTTTATTGCACCCATGTCACTATCGACACAGATGTCAGTACAGATGCCTGGTCTCTCGACAGGAACATGTTCTAGCAAGCTCCAGTATATATCCATTTGACACGTTTCACCCTATGTATCTGTTTGACACCTCTGACCTTATATATCCGTTTGACCCAAAATATCCGTTTTACATGTTTGACCCTACACCATTTGACACGTTTGACCCCATAGATCTGTTTACACATTTGAACCTTCATATCCGTTTGACCGTATACAGTGGTCCCTCGCTACAACGCTACCAATGGGGTCGAAATAATTGGTGGGCGTTATAGACGATGAGCCTTTAACCGAGGCGGAGTCATAGGGGAGTGCGCTCGGCCAATCTCACGATCTTCGCCTCTCTCGCACATTGCAATGATTCGAGTTGTTTACGGTTCATCAAAATAAATATATATCCATTATGTTTTTTCGCTGTTTGTTTTTATTTACAAGCCTTAACTTTACAAGCATTAACAGACGCTATGAGTGAAGAGCCAATCACAATTCTTTACACAAGTAATAATGTAATCCGTTGGGGGCAAAGCGGAATCTAGCAAATTGCTGATCAGTTTCCTCTTGCAGTGTGATTTAAACGCTTTTATTATACTTTGATCCAAGGGCTGTATGATTGAGGTTGTATTTTATCGGCAGGAGAACGGCCTTGATTTTGCCGTCGTGTGAAGTCAACGTTGAGGCAGGGGGGTGGGCTGGGCAGTTATCCAAAAGCAGGATTGCTTTTTCTTCAAGTTTTGTTGTCTGAGGTAATCACATCAATGACAAGTTACCATATCAACAGTTGATATTGATACCCTGCTTGACTGTCGATATTTATCACTACCAGAACACAATACCTCTCTCTACTCTTGAACAAATCCCCTGACAAGCTACTGTAACTTAGAACTAATAGAATTGTTACGCTTGACCCCATGTCGAATAACAAAAGTAAATTGGACAAATGTTGGAATGTGAAGATACTCAGCGGCACTACAATTTTAATAGTATGGCAATAATGTCATAACTACTGCAATAGATTAAATGCCCCAGAAAGTCGCCCCAACCCAGGACCCAACCCCACAGGCCCTTGTGTCATTTTCAAGATCAATCATGAGTGTCAGAAATGCACGATCCTAACAGCATAGTGCTCTTCTGACACTCGTGATATTAATTGGTCTAGAAATATTTAAGTAACGACACAAGGGCCTGTGCCCAACCCTGGGGTGTTGTCTCCAGCCCAATGGTAACAGTAAGCCAGGTCGGCCTATGTCACGAAGCAAAAGCTGCAGTTTCTCTCCCAGGTTGTTTAATGCAGCCATGATGACACACAAGACCGCTAGTCCATGGACCTGGTTTCTTATGTATCCTGTACATTATATCTACACAAGGCTTTCTAACTTACAATATTACCACCAGTGACCTGATCCTGAAATTCCATAATTCCAGCCCACGGCAACACCGACAATAACAAACACAACATGTACCCGTTTTACTCCTACAGTACACTGAGAACAATGCCATTTTGTGAACGTTTCACATGACAGCCTGCAATATTACGACTATATTATAGTAGCCTGTTAATTATCAAGTCTAGGCCATGCCATGTAAATTTCCGGTACAATCTATAACATTTGGTCTTTAGAAGTGCAAATTCGACAAGTGACAGATTGTTAGATTTCCCTTGCTGGGTCTGTATAGGCGAATATTAAATGTTGACACCTGATCAGGTATGTAGCAACAAAAGAAACTACTTGATATTTCTAATGTCTCCAGCCCTATGGTAACAGTAAGCCAGGGCGGCCTACGTCACGAAGCAAAAGCTGCAGTTTCTCTCCCAGGTTGTTTAATGCA